TTCAGGATTTTGTCGCAACAAAAACTTTTCATCGGTCAAAAATCTTATAAATTTAATTTTAAGTGCAATTTAAGGAAAAATTCATTCAATGACTTTTTATAACTTTAAACAGGTGCATGATTTTAAATTCTCGAATTATTTTACGATAGCACTCATGTTTTATTATTATTGTTTTGGTAGTTACGTGTTCGTTAAAATGACGCTAAGCTGCACTAGTCTATTATTTGTTTTTTGTGGATGGGAGCAATTTTTTAGTTGCAAAAACCTGAGTAATTTTTACTAATACTAAGGTTCAAGGTTTTAGTGGTACTCAAAATCCGCGCGATAATTCTGGGCTGTCGTAAACTTCTGGTGTTAAAGTTAACGGTCTGTACTGAGCAAAGGATGGCTGGGCTTGTCAGCTTTACGACGACAGTGTCGATATGTTGCGTCGTTTTGATATTTTTTTACTAATGACGGGTGTGTAAGTTATACTACACGCGATTGTAAAACACGTCGTATCAGGTGCATTTCAACAGATTTAAAAATGCATACTTTTAAATTTATGGAGGAGTAAAAATATTTTAATTTATTTGAAGACAACTCGGAATTTTTTTCAGTAACTCGTAGCAGCTTTGTCATTTATTAACAATTTTTTCTTTTTTGATACCAAGCTTGGTTGTAAAACTGCCGGTTATTAAATTAACATTTTTTATGCACATCTACGTTTAAAATATGTTTACCCTTATGAAATTTATCTTGGAGCACTTTAATACAACATAATATTTCTCATTTTCTCCCAACATAATTGAATTTTAACTTTAATAATAATAATTAAATAATGCAAACAATTTATAAATTAAATTGTATCTAAAAATCGGAAGCACTCTCTTAGCGTTGAATTTCCAAGTTGTATTGAAAAAAACTTTGAAAAATCAAAAGGTAATGATGTAAAAAAACAATATTATTCATAAAAGATTTTAAATGTATTTTTCATCATCTATTATCTGGTATATTCACAATTAATTTTCTTGTATGCATTTGTCGTGTGATCTAAACATAGTTAATCTTACATATCAATTACAATATCATTATTCATTATATTCAATATTTATATATATATTTATATATAATTCATACTCAATTACAATAATCCCTTAGACAATATTTCACACACATTAAAAACTAATGCAAAACTATTTGCGATAATAATCGTACACTTTATATCTATTTAGTTCAATTGTTAATAATATTATTTATTTATTTCACAAACACACCTACAAACGTTCTGCCATTAAGTCAACCAGAAATATGTCTCCGTACTATACATAATGTTTTTATTTTTAGTTTTTTTTTTTTAGTTTTTTTTTTTTTTTTAATTAATATGAAACATCAATTTCCTCGCTATTTTCTTTATTAAAATTATCTTTCCTCAACTTATTTGTTCAATGGCTTCGATTATTTAAAAACACTGAATCGAAATGCCGCGTGCTTTAATTTTTATTATTTTTCTCTTCTCTATTTAATTTTATTATGAATATATTTAATTTGGTATCTCAACTCTTTTTATTTATCAATATTCGAATCAACGATTTGTAAATATTTTTATTTTATTATTTATTGAAACAGGTGATGAAATTTGAGTTATATTAAGCCATTAATAACTAATTTCATTGCAATTAATAATCAATTTTTACTTTATCTGAGTATCTGTCAAAAAATATACGTACATGCGTTTTAAATATGCATGTAACATTACAGTTTATTTATTATTGTTATATATATATTTATAAATTTTTATATATTGAATTGTAATAATTGTATTAATCATAATAATGATAATAATCAGATTATAATTTATAATAATAAATTGGACAATTGTAACACCAGTTTTATTACTATTGTTTAAACGTTTCTTTCTTTTTATCTTTTGTAAACTACAAACGTTCAATCATTTTTTCAACTGCTTTATAAGGCGAACAAGTTTCAAGACAATAAAATTTTTTTTACTTTTTTCAATTTTTTTCTTCAATATCAATCATATATAATACTCGTTACACATCTTAGTCTACGCTACATAAACTTGCATTAGAAGATTTTTTTAAAATATTTTTTTTCTTATTTTATATAAAACAAAATGGCATCTTTTTGGCATTGGAGAAAAAATACGCTTAATAAGCTTCATTTTTTCTATTTTTAAATTGAACCACAGTCAATTGCCTTTATTATTTCTTTCATTAACTTTTGATAAATAATTTCGATAGCTTTTTATTAGATTTAACTCTTATATTACAACTATTTTGGCATCGTTTGAATTTATTTTATTTTCGTTATAAAAAGTTTTGAGATATTTATTTTTTATATAGAAGTTTATTAGATCAGTGGAAGTATTTTATACATTTTGTTTTTTAACGATAATATTCGTTTCATTTCTGCATTTATTTACCATTTGTTTTTTGTTTAAATTACACTCAAAAAAATTATTATTTAATTATATTAATAATATAAAATTACATGTTATTTTTTTTAAGGAATAAAGGAATTACAATTTAGGTGAAGGTAAAACGTATCGTTTCATTATTTTTATAAAAAGTTAAATATTAAAATTTTTTTTTTACACTTCAAAAATTTTCAAATCCAAAATTATTAACAGTAAAATTTTCACGTTGTAATAAAAATTTTGATAATTAATACATTATTTAACTTGTTTAACTAAAAATATCTTTTTAAATTTATCAAAAAATATTATAAATATATTTTTTTTGATTATTTTTACAAATATTTGTGAAATTTTGAAACGATTCGTTTTACGCTTTTCCTTTGGAAAAAAAAAAAAAAACTGATACGTTACAATTCTCTTAGACATTTTTTATTTCATTTATTAAATATTTCACAGTAAAAAAAAATTTCATAGAAAAAAAAAATAAAACAATTGTTCGAGTATTTCACTAGGATCTTTGTTCGTCTTACACAATTCACAATTAAATATAAAGAAAAAATATTAATAAACATAAAGTTGCTAGCTTACAAAGTTTAAAATAAAAGTTATTTTGGAATAGGTTCACCCGTCGGTACTCAATGCTTATTAAACTTAAACCTTAGAATTATTTACTTAATCAACCAAAGCACCGACGTTCTCCAACCGCTTTAAATAATATTACTCATTATAATAAATTGTGGTACACATTTAACTTATTCAAAACTTAATTAATAAATAATTAAATTGAATTAGATTATATTCATCAATTATCAACTAATTAATTAATTATTAATCATATATGAATAATATATTAATGATTCTTACTAATTAATTCTCCGCGGAGAAAAAATGGCGGTTTTGCCACATTTGTGTTTTATTTCTTTTCATATTCAATTTAATTAAATTAATCAATTATTTTATTAATAAATGATTCAAATATAATATTAATCTAAAGAAAATGATGCTAATTTTTTTTTAAATCGAGGATCGATGCAATTGTTTTAATAAATAAATATAAGTCGATCCGCTTTACTGTAAACACCAATATGACAAATTAATATATCTATAATTGAAATAATACATATATATATATATATATATATATATATTTAATATAAAATATATATCGTACATACGAGGATAGAAAAATAAAAAGATAAAAGTATGTACAAAAAATTCAGTTAATAATAAATTAAAATTAAAATAAAAAAAATTTACAATTAACAAAGCCAATATTTAAAATAAGGGGTCGGTTAAAAAAGAAATAATAAAATTTGTACTCAATCGCCCAGGGCGAGTGGTTAGTATGTTTAAAACAAAAAGAGTTAATTAAATTTAAATTAATTTATTAATTAATAAAGACTCAGTACGGTGGCAAGTGCAAAACTTGTGCATTAAATAAATATCAAAGAAGCGCAAAAATGTACAAAGATTTCTTTTAAATAATAAGAATAACTTTTTAATTTTAAACTTGAGATCATTTCATTATTTCTTCGTGTCCATATTTCATTAATAATAGTAATAATAATAATAATAGTAATAATAATAATAGTAATAATCATAATAATAATAATCATAATAAAAATAACAATAATAATAATAATAATAATAATAATAATAATAATAATAATAATAATAATAATAATAATAATAATAATAATAATAATAATAATTATGAAACTATAATCAATAATCATTATTAAATTTTTAATTATTAATTAATGTATATTTCCCGTTAATTTAAAATGAAAAGTGCGTCATCAATTGTGCAGTGACCGTAACAACTAATCAACAACATTATTTTTGTTGCTACAATTTTTATTATTTTTTTATTTTTATTAACTCTTCAAGTACGCCAACACGTAAAATATATCATAATTCATATTCATAATATATAGCCAATAGATTATTTATTAATATTTATTATTATATATTAATTATTTATCATGAGGAAGAGCATACGTATACACCTTAAGGGTACATTTGTATACACACTTCTATTCTTAATTTATTTATTTATTAATCACTATTGTAATAATTATTGAACCTTCAAAATTTGCAATAGATATACAATGAGATATGTATTCGTGTTAGTTCTTTACTGTACCGACTCGCTAATGAGATACAGATTTACATGCATTATTGTACATTTTTATCAGTGAATAATAATTCTTATACATCTGCTTATTTATTCCATCAAAGTCCTCAGTAATAATGGCCACGCTTTACCCTCCAAAAATTTCTTACATCTCTATGAAAAATTCATCAACTTTCAATTAAATATTTTCGTTCGAACAAAATTATTGACACAAATTGATTGCAATAAACATTTAATTGAAAGTCAATTCAATCAAATACTTAATATTTGAGCTGCTTCATACAGTTTTAATAATTAAAAAAAAAAAAATTTAATTGTACTGAAAGCCCGAATTATTTGATAGAATAAAAACATGGCAGTGGAGTAAAACCTTGTGGTTATTTAATAACTTTATTGATTGCGCATTTGTGCTTCCGTTAATTTGCAGTCGAGATTATTGTTAACTCATCCTATAGCACCGCCCTCTTGGTAGGGCCCAGTGATCATGCAGGGATGCATCGGGAACAGAGTTGTCCAAGTCATCGTAGTATAAGTCGGCGAACGCATCATAAACTGCGAGTTCGTCGTGTTAACATGGAGAGATTTGTCGGAAGCCTCGGAAGGGGCCTCACTGGGCCCGGAGTCTGTGTTTGGCGGAGTCGGGGTCGGTGGAGTTTCAACTATGGGTCCGTCAGCAGCAGCCACTGCATTAATCGTGTCATTAATACTATTAGACATGGAAGTGTTGGAAGTTGTGGTCGTGATTCCCAATTTTCTAAGCCGCATCTTTTCCTCCCACTCACTCCAACCGTGTTTCGGCCTGTTTAGGTTTCTATGTTGATAGAACACTAAGCTGATACGCGTCGGGTTGAGTCTGTTGGGCCTTTTCAGCGCAGTAGTAGAATGCAGTTCGTGTTTCGCACACTCAAACAGAACACTGCCGTGTCCTAGAGCAATGCCAACGCCACCTAGTTGAGCGTCCTTGAAGCACTCTTCGTTGTCAGAGTAGTCCGCGACTTCGCCAAGAGGTTCTGATTTTGGTGGTGGCTCAGGCAAGACCGGAAAGTATGATGGTGGAGGATAAATATCCCAGCGAGGAGTTTCCCATCTGTTCCATCCTTGATAAGGTGGTGTTACGTTTTGATAAGGATATTGCGGTGGATAAGGCTCCCGTTTAGGTGGATAAATTTGTGCTTGATACTCTGGTATCGGATGACTCTGATGCGTTGGGTGTTCTGGATGAGCAGGATGCGTTGGATGCTGCGGAACTGGATGGCTCGGATGTTGAGGGTGCACTGGATGTTGAGGATGCACGGGATGTTGAGGGTGCACGAGATGTTGAGGATGCACTGGATGTTGGGGGTGCACGGGATGTTGCGAATGCACGGGATGTTGCGGAGGGTACTGGTGATAATTGTAACCATCCCAAGTATTGCCATAAGGTTTCTCAAAGCCCGTGTAACTAGGATACCCCGGATACTGGGGAAACGAGTGACTCAAATTAGACATCGCGTGTAGCTCCTGAACCTTCATTTCTTCAGTCCACATCGGATTGGCAACAGGACGGTCATAACCCTCTTTATTAGCTGTAGAATACGATGGTGTTCGCGGAGCATTTGGATCTTGATGATAATCGGCTCTGATCGGTTGTTCCTGGGGTATTTGAGGCTTAAGAAAGGTTCGATTAAATGTATTCTGATAGCTCGCTTCAGACGGATTCTGATTAGGCGTAGTTCTGGACGGCGGACGGCCCTTTGGGACGCGAAATGGCGATGGATCCGTCATTTCAATGCACGGATTCTTCGGTTGTTCCGAGTGCAGTGCTCGGTCTGGCCACACGGGAGCTGGTTTATCGACCGCGTTCCAATTGTTTGCGGTCGGCAATTGTTCTTTCTTTTGCTCCGTGTAATTGTAATTATCGTATTGCTGTTGCGGGTATGGAAACATTGCCGCCTGATGCATTGCTCCAACGGGATTCAATTCGTGGTAATCATTTCTGTATGTCGGATTTTGCGGCTGGTTTGTTGGTTGATTTAAACGCCCGTAATAATCTTGGTTACGCGATTTCGGTGAACCAGGCCTTTGTTGTAGATCTATGTAACTACTGTTGTTATTATTATTTTGATTATTATTGCTTGGATAGCGAATGTCATTTCGCGGGGATGGCAATCGTTGAATATGGCTGTGAATTTCCGGACCAGGAGTTTGCTGTCCTCTTGGTGACGAACGTTGGTCATGGTGTTGAGGGTGAGGAGTCGAATATCCACGCGGTGACATACTAGGCTGGCGATTATTATTATCATTGAAGCCTGGATAATTTTTACCATAAGACGGAGACGGCAAACTGTAGTTTGAGTCATTGGTGTGCGGAGTAGGCGGTGCTGGATATCCAGAACTCCTGGGTGACATCATTTTTGGATCATGAGGAGTCGAAAGAGCCCTCGGGGAAAGCGTGTGGCTTGCGTAACTAACTTCTCCAGGCGTAGCTGGTAAAGAGTTCCTTGGCGACATCGCATGACGAGGTGACTGATTGTATCCGCGATTTATCGGTGAATCCGGCAGATTTCGCGATCTTGGACGATGGTCTTCTTGCGAATAAGTACTGCGAGGTCGATTATCATCCAGACTGGTGCTATCGGGATCTACTTTGCTATCACGCTCCATCCCACTAAATGAATACTCGCTCCAGTGGTTTAACCAGTTGTTTTTCCGCTGCTCTAGCCAGTTGTTTCTCGCCCACTGCTGGTCACCCTGAAAGCCCCAGCCTTGATACATGGACACTGGACTGTCCAAAACCGTCGATGACACTTGAGAACTCTGGAGCTGAGCATCCATGCCGTCAAACATCGGATTCATCTCTAGAGATAGTTGTGGGTCTCTCATCGTTCGCGCTGGATCTTGATAAGGTGGTCGTTCGGCAGCTTTTTCCTTCGCCGCATCTTTTTTTGCGTTTGCTACATCTGTCTCGTCTTCCTTGCGCTTTTTTCCGTGTCGTCTGCATGGCTGCAAGGGCACTGATCGAACTCGCACTTCGCATGGGTACCTACACGTATTTTATCAATTAATAAACGTTTCAATTTAATTTTATCTTCAGAAATTATGAGAAAAAAAATTTACTTTGAAAGTCTCTCAATAGCTCCGGAGTTGATTTTTTCTTGCTGTCCATCTTTGGATCCAAACTCGTCCGTTTCATCCATGATGTAGAGAGGTAAGACGTGTAGTTGTTCATCATCAGATTTTGAGAGGCTTCGATGTTTTGTCAAACTAACCACCTGTTAATTGATAACTTTATTGATTAATTTCTCTTCTATCAATCATATTAACGAATTTTATCAATAAAAATAAAGGATTTATTTGAATTGAATAAAAGTGAGGTAAAAATACGTACGACAGTGCAGCCATTGTTCATATCATGGAGATCTCGATGGGAATGAGCGCAGAAATCAATGCAAGCGGTGACTCCAGAGAAAGGTCTTCCAGGTTTGAACCCTAGACGGCACTCACTGGCTTCACGTTCGAACTGCGTCTGATTATTGAAGGCCTCGGGCGCTAAGCTCAAGTACAATGGCGACAAAAGAGTCGCCAGTACATGCATTCTTTCTTCAACTTCTTGTTCCTGAGCAGAGTAAAAGTTGTTTTAGTTATCGAAGTTTTAGGGCGGAAGGTAGAATATAAAATTGCCGAAGGATATTTACCTCAGTTTTAACGGACAACCGGAACTTGCGAACGGTTTTGCTGCGAGCGTATTTACATCCGTTGTAATACATAGACCAGGAGCACCCGAATGAATAGCTGGCCCCACAGGTGTCCGGATCGAGACCTTGACAAGCGCAAGTTCGCGGTTCATTGGTTCCGCATCTACGTGTCGTCGGAAGACCGAATCGATTCAGTTTGTGGGTGAGTAGAGAGTAAATGCGATCTGCCTCGTGGGTCGGTACACCCTCCCACGCGACCATTACAACTACGATCCACGCTGTGGCGCATTTGTGTCCCTGGCGGTGCTTTACGATTGACAATATTTTCTCATCTACCCCTGACCGCCGCAGTATCTGTTGAATATTTACGTTAGTATCCATTTTACCATTTAATACCTAATTAATAATTAATAGCTTGCTGTTATCCAACCGAAAATTACTTTTATAAATTAATTAATCAAATAATTTTTTTCAACGGAAAAAATTTTATTAAAATTAAGTAAATAAGCTTACCCATTTAGCCATCGGACATCCTTGAGTAGTTTTTCCCTCCTTTCCAGTGTAAACTACCTTCTCAAATCGTATCGCATTTCCTTTAAGCCCAGTTCTCCGTTCGAGATCATTTCTTAGATCCGGAAGACTGGCTGCGGCCCCCAGATGGGTGTAGTAAGATCCAGGCTCCGGCGGACCTTGTGGTTGAACTTGATTTTATTTACATAAATCGAGCAGTCTCACCCCTCTCCCAATATCAATTACTCGAATTGGATTTACTTAGTAACTTATGTATCAATAATCAATACCAATAATATAATAGCCGATTAGAATAATCCAACCCCGTTTCCACCAATTATCTTTTTAATATTTTTTATTTTTTGTTTGTCTTTATTTACTACGTATACTTGGATATAAGTTTATATTTAAGCGTTAAAAAAAATGTTTCGTACATATTTTACAGAATATAACAGTGTACGCGCTGATATAGATATATAGATATATATTGATGGTTAGTGTGTTCTCTCTATGTTAGTGTGATGCGTAATACACAATGACAACTCACATTTATCTGGCGGAAAACAGTCGCAGTCAGGTACTTCGCTCCGCATATTGTTCTTGCTCTTGTCTACATCTTGCGCCGGTTTTCCACTTCCGCTTCCACTTCCACTAGTGCAAGTTCCGACACTGGCTGTCGCGGTTCCAGTGGTGACAGTTGTTACCGAGCTCAAATTTCCAGTTGTGGTTACCGTTGTTTCAGCTCCACTTCCGATTCCAGTTGAAATTTCGCAAGATTTTCCGTTTTCCTCACCCTTAACTTCTTTCTGCTCCTTATTGACTTCCTCTGACTCCTCGGTGATCTCATCTTTGGTCTGCAGGTCCTTGTAATCATTCTTATCAACCGATTCCTCGTCCGGCTCAGACTTTATTACCATCGGAAGACTTTCTTTTCTGCGATCCTCTTCTACGTTATCGCTTGGACAGTAATCTACGATCTCCTGTTTTATCTGTCTTGGAGTGTACATAACATTGCTCATTATTTCCATTCGATTGTTCCTGTTATCATTATTAACTTCCGCGACAATTTCATCACCACTACCCAAATTTTTAGCCATCTCAACATTTCTCGAAGAAGAATAGTACTCGTTACTTTTACTTTTGTCACTGACTCTGCTTTCTTCGTTACTTTTATTGCTATTCTCATTAATAATTCCAAGACTTTGATGGAATAGTTTATTATCACTATTTTTATCGATACCAATCGTACTGTCCCATACACTAGTCGTCTTATCTTGAATTTTTTTCTCATTGTACTTTATAAAATTTTGTATAGCTGTTATTCCGGTTTCTGGTAATATCTCCGGATTAACATTACTATTATTATTGTTATTATTATTATTATTATTATTATTATTATTATTATTATTATTATTATTACTATTATCATTGTTACTGTTATTACTATTACTATCATTAACGCTATTTATATTATTATTATTATTATTATTATTATTACTATTATTACTAGAACTGTTAATAACATTATTGTTATTAATATTGTGATGAATTCCTCCTCCAGTCCACTCCCATAAGCCACCACCGCCGGGCAAACTATCGGCCCGGTGGTGGTGGCTATGCAATAAAAAATTACCGGTCATGGCATCGTTGTTCTGGGGCATGGAAATCATGTTAGACTGTTGCGAGTATTCTGAAGATCTTTTCTCGTGTGTCTTAGTGTCACCCGCGTTTTCGTGGGACTCCCTAACGCGATCGTCGCTGGAATAATCGTTGGACCCATTTGGACCCATCGGATGCATCTGGTGTTGCATCTGTTGTTGCTGCTTGTGTAGAAGCATCGATTTCAGCCGATCACTCACTTTGTTTGTCCTGTTTGACTCTTGATTTTCATTGAACCCATTAGATCTGTCATTGCTCCACATGACTCTCTCCCCAGAATTCTGGATGTCCTGCTTATTCTGTTGGGTCCAAGCAGGATTCTCAGCGGGCCCCGAGTTTGGGGACCAGTTTGCGATTTGGCGGTCCATTTTCTCCTGTGGGTTCTGATTTGAGCTTGGATTAGGATTGGAGTTAGTATTTTGATTAGAGGTGGGATTAGGATTAGAATTAGAATTGGAGTTGGAATTAGGATTAGGATTGGGATTAGTGTTCGGCCAAGCTGGCTGATGACTCGGAGTTCGTCTAGGACTGGGCTGAGAATCGGGCCAAGCTTGCTGAGGCTGCTGCTGCTGACTACCGTCGCTCTTCATGCTGCTCGGGGACCAATTCGGCTGACTAGTAGGCGTGTCCGGCCAGGACATTTGATTCGACGGCGTCAATCGCGGGTTGGCTTCAATTTTGGTCTGCTGTTGCCACTGCTGAGTCTGTTGCTGTTGATGCTGCGGAGTCAGCCGAGAATTGGGATGCCCGTTCTGAGACTGAAGCTCGGGACTAGTTTGCCAATTTTGATTCGACACTGGAGTCATCCGCGGATTTTGTTGAGCGGGACTAGGATGCTCGACAATCTTGGGCGAGTGCTGAGGCCACTGCTGCGGCTGATGCTGAGAGGGCGTTAGTCGCGGGTTCTTTGGACTCTGTTGGGGCCATTGTTGCGGGTTCTCAGTTTCGTTCCAAGTTTGGGGAGCTTCGCGAGTACTGTCCCAGCTCATGTGACTCGCGGGTCTCGATATGTCTTGATTGACATTGGGCTCGTTCTTAATATGTTGCTGCTGTTGTTGCAGCTGCTGTTGCTGAATGCGAGTGTCTGACCATGTCATGTCGTTGACACTGTTGATCTTGGCATTGGAACTAGTGTCTGACCACAAGTGAGCTTGGCTCGCATCTGAGACTGAAGGCTGTCGCGGGACATTTTGCATGTGTTGCCACTGGTTTTGTTGTTGAGGCTGTTGAGGAGGCTGCTGTTGAGCCGGTTGACCCATTTCCACGTAGCCTGGATATCCGTTAGAGTTGTGTGAACTCTGTGGGTCCGGTTGAAGTGGATACCCAGGCATCTCGTTTCCCGACACATTTGTCGGGGCTATTGTTGCAAACCCCTTTACTTGTGTGTCTGAAGGCGGCTGTGGTTGAGCCGCTTGTTGCTGCTGTTGTTGTTGTTGCTGTTGCTGTTGTTGTTGAGAGTCCATGTGGACAGAGCTACTGCGACTTGTTGGCGTCGTCGAGGGCGGCGGAGCCATTGTCACATCCTGAAAAGAGGATCATTCGATCTGTAACTTAAAATCCATCGTGTGTATTCAGTATTGCCGCGTTTAGATTCGATAAACCGCGATTTTAACGGTTTCTTTTGAAATTAAATCGACCGACCGTAGTAGAATAAAAAAAAAAGAGTTTTAATGTAAACCATTTATCTATTTGAATTGAAAATATTGTAAAACACTTGATTGAAAATTCATGTTTTTATTAATAAAATCGAGAAAAAAAACCACAAGTTATTGTTATTGTGAAGTTGACGTGGATAGACGGATGAAAGGAGTGAAAGCGTACGCGTGTAAATGATACAAACGGTGTTTGATAGCTACTGATGATGGCTCACCTGCTGCTGATACCCGTTGACGTACTCCTGACGGGTCTCAAAGCCTATCGGTTGTCCCGGCGTTGCCGCGGGGTCCATGAATTGCCCGTTGAGTGCACGTTGGGGAGGAGCAGCCCCTGTTTGGGGCGCTACCGGTGCCAGCGGCGACGGCTGCCCCGGGATTCCGTATTGTCCCGTGCTACCCGCGCGCTGGAATGCCGATTGATCTGTTGCGATGAACGCCTGCTGTTGATACGCCACTGGAATATTTATTTAAACAATTGTTTACCTCTTTCTCCACTTTCATTTTCATTTAATAAAATTCTCGCGATTCATTTCCATACGTTAGCTTTTTATTAAAAATACTCGTTTTTTTTTCTACCTCCAGAATTTTTTTATTCTATCTATTTGAATGCATTTTATATGAAAAAAAAATTTCATCACGAACAAGTTTATTACCTGGTTGTGGATGGTATGGAGTCGCAGCGCTGTATTGTGTGTGATACCTTAATTCATCAAGCTGATTTGGCGCAGGTATCTGTTGAATAAATTGTTGCGGTGGCCATGTCGCGGTTGTTGCTTCCACGGTGACTGCGCCTACAGGCGTAACACCCTGATGCCATACGGCATTACTGAAACCAGCAGTTGGCCGGAATCCGGCGCTACTGTCACCATAAAATGGTATTACTCCAGGTGACTGTAAAAAAATAAAATAACAATTGTTATTATTTTTTATCGTTGAAATTATTTTATTCGTAATAATAAAAAAAAAATAGATAGATAATTTCAATGGAGGGTACTTAAATAATACATGATATTATAAATATATAATAGTTGTTATATACGACGTAAAATTATAATATTTATGTATTTTTCTTAAGCAGCATAAGCCTCGGAGCTTTGAAGTTTTTTCAACAAGTTATACGGCGTTTTTGCTCTCGATGAATATTTTATTCAGTATCTTTGGAGCCCGTAAAGCAGAAAAGCCATTCTCCTCACGAGTACTTTCCACTTTCGCTTTCTTAAGCGGACAAAAAATAAGTTGAAATAAAATAAAACGTAAAAAAAATAAAAATGAAAAACAATAAAACAAAAACAAAAAGTGAATATACTCGAGTAGTTTATCCCGTTAAAAACTTTTTCTAAGCTTTGATATCGCGAGTCTCGGCTCGAGCTTTTTTCCCTTTATTTTTACTTTTTTTCAATTTCATTTTTTTTACCGTCACTGAGACTAAGAGAGAGAAAAACTTGAATTTATGGTCGTGGTAAAGGGCCGCCGAGAACGCGACAATTCTCACGTCGCATTCAACAAACTGTCGCTGTCTTTCTATCTTTTTACTTACTACCTAAAGCTTTTTACACATTTTATTGCCGACACATTTTTAATTTCTACAATCACAAACATTCCGATAAAATTTTTATCAAAATAAAAGCTACATTTGTTAGAAATTTATTTTTAGTTTTTTAATTTGTCTCCAATCCAAACAGAAGATTATTAAATTATACGGAATTGAGTTACGGATGTAATATCAAGTTCTTGTCACTGCTGAAAGCCAGAAACAAATTTCCTCGGGTCACTTAACCAAGCTGGAAATCCTAGCTGAATTGTTTCCGGAAATTTGTGGTTACCAAAAAGTAAACAATGGGGATGAATTAGATAGTAATTTTAAAATTAATTAGTAATTGTTTCCGATGGTTCGTTAAGAAAATAGAGTAAAAATATATGAAAAACAATAATAATAATAATAATTATTATTATTATTATTATTATTATAATGATGAAACTTGAAGTAATCAAACAATGTTATATGATATCAAACATCAAGAAAGATATAATTTGGGGGTGATTTAAAGTTAGTCCGATAGAATGATGTATATATAACTGCACCAGTAAAGCTATATATGTATATATATGTCTTCTTATTAGTTCGTATAACTATATAACGACGGGTTTCACGTTTTGCATTATGATTACACCACTCGGGTGGTGCTGTCGTGACATTCAATGCATATCAATGACACGAACACATTCACCAAAATTTACCAATAAAATATTTGAATTTAAAATTCAAATATATTCAATGATCTTTTGATCTAGATTTTATTAAAAATAGAATTTATATTCAAATTTATTGATTAAATATTAATAATAAATTTCAAAAATAGACGAATGGAATAAATGATGAATTGATTTTGTGCTCCTGAATTTTTAACTTAAATTCTTCGAACATTTTCATCGCTTCGTTTTTGGTTCGGTTAAACTTTAACTCGATAAATTTTTAAATAAATTCTATGTATAACCATTCTGTTGAAAAAAACTTCAAAAATTGATAAAAAAATAAAACCCATGAATATTGCTTACAAGCTTCCTACAAAATATTTTTTATTTTTTCAGTTTTCAGACCAGCAAGGAAATTCTTCATCTGCATCAAGACATTTCGGTGGGTGAGTGAAAAAAAACACTAATATTAGCCAAAAATCTAAACCAAAGCGTGAAATTTGTTTAAATATTTTTTTTTTTTATATTTTGTTGCTAGTGTATAGGCTTCTCAACCCCTTTACACCCCAAGCCTTTCTCAACATTAATGATTCGCTTTGGTTACCTGCACTTGAAGGTTCGTTCGTGGGGCCGTTCCACCTCTTATTCGCGCGGGAGCTACCGCTTCGACCGCTTGTTGCGTTTAAGGAGAGGAACGGAGCCAGGGACGACTGGACTTATATTTGCGGCTGTGGCTCGACTTGTGCTTTCTGTATCGTATTCACCCTGAACCTTACCTTTTCAGGCTTGGAACAGAACCATGGGGAAACCACAGAGAAAACCCATGATAGTACAGTCGGAGCTGGGCTAAGTCTACAGTGATTGATAAAGAACTTCTCTTCTTTATCGACCACTGGAGCATTAGGTCCTACTCTTAGTGTACAGAGATCCCTCGGGCTAGCCAACGCTGACTAGAGTGGTCACTCAGTTAAGTTGTAGCTTAACTGAGTGATCGCCCAAGTCAGACGTGTGCCACCCGGCTATCTCTGCCACTTACAGAGGCAGGCAGTGTAACATGTAACGCACATATTTTTTAGTTATAATAACTGAAAAATAGTGGTGCGTGCTGGAATCGAACCCGGGTCCCACTCTTTCGAAAAGCGAGCACCGAGCCGACCGAGCCATTACCGGCCTTTGAAATTTGTTTAAATATTTAAAAAAAAAAAAATTTCTTTACTACAATCTAAATAAATTAACAATTTATTTTCTAAAATCGGTGGCCTGTATAATTGAATTCTATCGAACAAAACGTGACTCTTGTTACTTGGATAAAATATTATCTCGGCTGCACAGAATATACATCTATACAAAGCTCAAAAGAGATTTAATTAGTAATTAGAGAGTTTATTTACTGGCGTCGACGTCTGGTTCATCAGCCAGTTCAATTGGATTTCCCATTTAAATTAACAATTATATTACATTTGTCTGACACTAAATCGATTGTCAATTATCCGGAAGCCCGTGACACATGTCTCTTCAGCGAACTGACAAAAAACATCGGTCTAGGGGTTATAAATTAAACAACTCTGGTCTTAACAAATCTAATAAAAAGCAACGAAAACGAAAACCCGATAGGTTGTACTGCGGTTTCAAGGTCCCGGAAACCGATTACTTTAGCCCGGTATTAGTACTAATGCCGTGCGGTGTGTACGAGGTAAAGTAGCTACAATAAAGTGGAGTAGAGCACACCAGCGGAGATTTGAAGCGGTGTAAACCCAGAAGAGACCACAAGTGGCCGTGGATCGGTGTGTTTGCGGTAAAGCCCGATAACATCCAAGGAGCGGAAGCTAAAGCTCAAAAGAGGATGAGAGTTGTATGTAGCACTTGTACTAGCAAATTCAGAAGCAGAACCAGAAGCAGTGGTAGTAAGTAGATAGGTGTTGGGAGGGTAGTAAACGGGCATGCAGCCAACCGAGCCGCGAACATCCGCCTCACTCAACTGGCAACTGTAGTACTACCCCTTGTGTGCGCGTGACGTCTCACCCTCTTGAACTGTCGTGCGATAAGGGTAAGAGGGTAAAGTTCGTGGGAAATCCATTCCATTTGTGTTCTATGCCGCTCTCTCTGTCTTCCTATTCCTTCCTCTATATATATATATATATATATATATATATATAAGCGTGAGGAATAGTAGGTTTGGTATCATGACCTAGAGTAACGCCCGGTTCGGGACACTTGTCGACGATAAAATGGGATGACCTACGACATCTCCACAACTCAACGCTAAACCTGGAGATCAACTCATTGCTATCTATATGTGTGTATTTTATATATACATTTATATATATATATGAATTTGTACTTGACCTCGACCCAATTTTTTAATATTTTTTTATTTATCATTATTTATCGAATAATTTTAGTGAACTGAAACAATTTAAATAGCAGAATGGTATCGAATTAAAATTTAAAATACATGGTAATAAATTTAGTAAAGCATAAATATTAACGAGTAGATTCAAGCTAAATAAAGATAAAGTCTGAGGTAATATATAATTCAATTGTGTGGTAATTTTAGTACAAGTTATATTTTATTTAAAACTTTTAAATAATTTATAGTCTTAAATTTAAATTTACCATTTAAATTTCTCATTTAGTAGTTGGTATTTTATATTTAATATTTAATGTTTCATTTCGAGTGCTAATGCTATTTTTTTAATTAAACTTAACTGCATTACTTTAAATCCAGGAAATGGATAAAATGTGTAAGCTTATTAAATTTTTAATCTGGACGGTTGATTATAAGAAATAAATCATTTATAAGATAGAAGATAACTAGCGGATATGATTGTTGGTGATAGAAAGACACATGTGCAATAATAATAAACGGTGTTTTATCCCGCGGATTGGTGATAGAGTGGGCGCGGCAGCAGTTGGCCGGCCAGTGAGTGGAATTGAGGGCCATTGGTGGTTTAAATAGCGACGGGAATGTCAACGCGAGCTTTTGCCGAACCATCCGCGGATATCTATGTCTATGTCTATATACATTTGCATATGTGTAACTCTATATATGTGGATATAGATATACAGATAAATACAGAGACAGACACTCGTGTCCATTTTCCAATTGGGCACACACAAGTACCACCGCAGGAGGCCGCAAGGGGAAAATGGTGTTCGACACGCAGTTACGAATTTATCGGGAAATTAACGCAGACAATCATCCGTGCTGGTAGTACAACAACCGTGTGGCCCACTCTGCACGGGTTACGGGTTATATTCGATTAAACGTTCACACAAGGGACTATTTCCTATTATATCTTCCTATTCGTTGCTACTCTTGTTTCACTCGCCTCTGTCCTCTGTCCTCAACAGTGAACTGACTCTCAACAGCTACGTTACATCCAATACATCCACATCAAGTAGAGTCTACGTGCATTTTCGTCACACCTATATACACTGTACCGAGATTTGCCGGTGGATACGCTAGGCATCTACTTTGACCCGTGTCGTAGGCTAGAGTCGAGTTGACACCTCCCCAGGGCATCATCCGAGTTGCGCCGTCGCCCAGAAACCCTATAAAGCGCAATCGCTTCGTTTAATTCTTATTTTTTTTTCTCATACTCAAGAATGTATTCAAATTTTATAATTATCGGGTTTTTTTTTGTTCAATTTATTTTCTTTGTTGTGGAAATATTATCTTCTGTTCAACTTTTAATTTATTGCAACGAACTATATGAGCTAAAAGTTTAAATATATTGAAGAAAAAACTGCTGGCTGGCATAAATAGTTATTATTTTTTTTTTTAATTAAAATTCAAGATAAAAAATTGAGACACTTTTATTTTTTTTTTTTTAAATCTAAAGGTCCATCTTTCGGTTTTATCAATCCCAAACTTTATTTTCAAATAAAAAATAAATGTTTATAATTAAAAAAAAAAAAAATTAATGTCAGCTATGTGCTAACTTTTGACTCCCTCATTTTTTTAATTGCAAATAATTTTTATTTTAGGAAATAATTATAAGGAGTTAAAATATTGCAATAATTATAAAAATTTAATTTTTGTTTTAAATGAACCCTTCTTGTATGTAATTTAAAAATGAATTTACATCCGAATTATTCGATTGCGATAAATGTTTCACTCAAAATAATTAACCAGAATTCTCTTTGACAATAAAAGTATCACAATACCGTTTTAGGTGTGGCTAGATATCTAATCGTACAAATGCATGGACAAATATAAGTTAGTAGCGGTAATATAGTGATCGCCGAGTACGAATGTGAATATCCAAGTGAAAACCACATGTGCTCCATATAACCCACCGCGACCGCGGTTAGAGCCAATTCGTGTGTATGTACCAATGCAACGAACTACCGGAATTCCGTGGTCTCGGTTTGCTGCATAATTGCTCGTTTCGATGAATGCACCTGAAACAACACCCCCTTCATCCTTTGATATTCCCAATTATTGTCACTCTGTTTCCATCTGCCATTCCTCTATTCAACCCCTAAAATTACCTATACATCACCGTACTATTTACATATCTAAAAGCAATAGTTATCCATTAATTTGCATTCTTAAAATTTTTTTTTATAATAACATACTTTTGTCTTTAAATATTCAAACTCTTACCCACACCGCTGAATAATATTATATTCATATATAATACGAAAGACTGGATTTTTATTTTGCCTAAAAATCCAGCAAGCCATGAATAATCAACAGTTGGGTGGGGTTCTTGGTCTTTAAAATCGATCGGCTTAAAAATAAAATACAAAGTCTCGGTGGTGAGTTTTCCGGGTTGGAGAATAGAGAAGAAGTAAAGTAAAACGGTGACAAATAGTAGTGTGAATCAAGCACTCGATCGTGATCAAGAGCTTGCAAAAGAGTGCTTTTATGTTAAGAGTCACCAGGTTTAAGAGGGCTCTAGAAATACGAGCCAGATCGACTGTCGCGGCTCACGAAATGGCATATTCCTTGTTGTTTGTCGTACAGTAAGCTACTACATACAGAAAAAACAACAACAATATGTATGTATGCATGCATGTATATTTATGTGGATGTACATAGGATGTATATAGGAAATATAGGTATAGTCGTACGGTGGTATGGTGCTAGAGTTGGGTTAAAGTGAAGAAGAAGGGGTGCAGACCACCAGCAGACGCTGCTAGCTGTGGGGGCGGTGACCGACCGCCAACGCGAATCAATACCCGCAGGAACAGGAACCGCCAAGCAACGGCAACTACTACGACGACGACGACGACGACGACGACGATGACGACCAACACCAAGGCGACGAAGGAGGGAGCGAGACACCAGATCTGTGCAAGAGTGGAGGAGTATAGAGCCAGGAATGACGACACCAGAGTGGAGGAGACGAGCAAAGAGAGGTATTAGAGTCTGGTAGGGAGGAATTGAGAGTTCTAGAAGGTTCATGCATTCCAAACGTAATCAAGAGAAAAAGGGTTTGGGTTATTCTATGAGCCGAGTAAAGGAAATTGTCTGAAATATTTATTCCAGAGAATCTTATTTTTCATTATTTGGACTTTTCAATTTTATTTATACTTTGCGGAATTAAATTAAAGGGTTTTTAGATACCTTGAGAAATTTCGTGATTTATTATTCTCAGTTGATAAAATTTAAATATTAAATCTCGGGACTCTCATCCATATTAACTCGTTCAATTCGGTTTTGAGAACTGTCACGATGTAATTTACATATAGAATAAATGAGTAACACGAACTTGCTCTCAAAATACAATATCGTTATTTATGGAGGTATAAATATACACGAGTTGAGGAAAATTTATCAGAATATTGTTGATACGGTTTCTATTCGGGTTTACTTGCTGACGTTGATGCATGATAAGTTTATGGAAATAATTAAATTTGCTATATATGGCTGGATAGACGGATGAATAGATTAATTTTTTGTTTAATTAATTTTCAGATAAAATTAAAAGGATATTTTTAGCCGGCTCGGGAAAAAAATAGTTTATTCCTAATGGTTCTTTATCCGGCGTAATTAGATTAAGGAGCACTTTAAAATATTATTTAAGTAGTACTATATATACTCTAGAGGAGAAATGCAATTTTTAGTAATGGTTACTGATAATAGTAACATAAGCGGATATTTAAAAATTTTTTTATCAGTACAGGGAAACGTGTGTAGTAGAAGACGGGTATATAAGGGTAATGTGGGAGTTATTGATCTCACGCTAATTTAATCCACGGCAATATATTTTAAGAGCGGCGCATAGCTGAGAAATATTTTAAATTAACTTTTTTATGCTATTAATAAAGGAATAATATTAAATTTTAAATTACGTAGTTCCTCAAAACTCATATATTTTATACTGGAATAAATTTAAACTTTTAATTTCCCTCACATACTACCGCTATACGAGCCCGAAACTTTATCTTTGAATTATTAGATTTTTAGAATTATTAAACTTTGTTTACTGAATTGTTGAATGTTTAAAGTTCGGTCGTTTATTTGAATTTTTTTGTTGATTAAAAAATTCTCCGACCAGCACTCGATGAAATTAACAAATAAGTAAGTAATTAATAAAACTCACCATGGAAACAACTGGCGGTGGAGGGTTCCCGTTCCTGAGAGCTCCGGCTTGCTGACTCGCGGAGTTTAGACCGTCCTTTGTTTGCTGCATCGGGTCTGTGTGTAAAGGCTGCTGCTGAGGCGGCTGCGGCTGCTGCTGTTGCTGAGGCTGGTGCTGCTGGAGACCTCCTATGCCTCCTTGCGGACTTCCTAGGCCTGCTGGTGCGCTATCTGGAGTGCTTACTTGCCTAGCTATGTTTTTTCTGTAGCTCTGTAATCATAAAAAAAATTTTTTTTTTAAGTAAATATTTCATTTATTGATCAAAAAATTTTCCTACATTTGAAAAAAAAAAACTTTATAAAAAAATATGGTGATTTTTGTCTTAATTAAAGTCACTAAGACTTAATTACTATTTAAATAAAATTAAAGACAAAATTTAATCAAAATATTAAACAAAGTAACCCAATTACACAAACTTGAAATAATTTATGCACATGAGATCTAAGTAAAAGCTCGGAATAGTTTTCCCATAGTTTAGCATACTCTTGGTGCACCGTATATGTTTAAAATTTCCGTATACAGTACGCGACTATACACTATACGTATTCACATATTATGGACATATAAATACGTTGAGCTGTGTATACTTGATCAAAACTTCAACAATTTATATAAAATACATAACTAAGCTGAGCTTTCGCCGAGGAGGTTATTTTATCTATTTCTCTAGGGAATTTAGTAAAGAGACTCTTGTATTTTCCAGTTCGTATACTCAAGAGCGTGATATAAAAATATTAAATATATTAAAAAAGTGAAAAATATACACAGTAAAAAATTTTGCGTCATTGCGTCAAAAAACTTAGTGTTAAAAATTTTTGTGTTAAATATTTAACACTTTTTTGTGTTGATTTAACACAATAAATGTTAAATCAACACAAAAAGTGTTAAATATTTAACACAAAAATTTTTAACACTAAGTTTTTTGACGCAATGACGCAAAATTTTTTTACTGTGTAGCGTTCCGCGATTTTTCAATTTTTTATTAATTTTTTTAATTAACTTCCGTATCGAATTGAAATTTCGCGTTTTTTTTATTAAATTCTATGAAAAATCCTCGATTTTTCTTTGAAAAAACATCTCAGTCGAAAATTAGTTCGAACAACGCATAAGAGTAATTTCAGTGGACTATGACCTCCTCTCGAGTCTTTACATGCAAGCAAAGAAAAATAAAAGGGAAGTAAAGTTTAAGAGAGAAGAAGTACCAGACTGAAGTTCCCGTTTAAAGTGGGTTTGTTTACTTCCGTTATACCCGCTCGGTTTTATTTTCTCTACTCCAATTCAAATGATTTGTACACCATTTATACGAAAACTTACTCCATGTTTTCGTGTCACTGTTGCGTCGCTTGTCTTCGCTATAGTACAGCTGCTTCGCAAAAATATTTTCGTGAATACGCAATACCCCGAGTAGAGAGTTTTTGGAAAATAATGGAGCAACTTTTTAGCGGCAATAAAAGACGTATCGATTAGACGGAAGCGGAGATATTTCTATCTCGTGTATTATCACGGATCGTTCGCACACGATTCGCGAGCTCGTCTCTTGGCTGCTCGCCCGAACCGGAAGCCAACGATCAGACCTTCCGCTGGAATTCGGTTATATATGTCCAAGATATATGTTGATTTATATTATTTGATTTATTGGGTCTATCTATGTACCTTGTTAATGCTATTGTTATTTATTGTTCCACAGGATTATTTATTGTCTTTGCCCCTGTCCTGCTTGTAAATTTTGCCTTTTTTTTCTGAGGCAATCTTGATATAAGTTTTTATTTATAAATATGTTCAAAAGAGTTTATAAAGTTAGGTTTGTATTTTATAATTATTATATTATTTATTATTATCAATTTTGAAATTTTTTATTGATCAAATTTTGAGAAGCTAAACAAAGTTGTTTTTTTGACCAAAAGTTTTAAATGAGACACTTGAAAAAATTATTATCATAATATAGAAATAAATAGAAATGCAATTTTGATAAAAAGCTTTTGTCTTGATTAAAAATTTTTTTTTTTAGTTAGTATATAATTTGGGCTTATTGAATTTTTATTTGAAATTTAGTTTTGAGGTAAATTAGCTGGAGTATTGTGTAGAGCTAGACTGGTCCCTTCATTCGATAAGTACTTGACTTAATGAATTCTCGACGTCGGGAAGTATACTCTTATCTTTATTTGTTCTCTTTCTTCGCTCGAGTTGCATTGGTTGTATTGCAAAAAAGGCATTAAAAAATCCAGACATTTACTTTATGTTTTTGTTACCCGGCAACCACTCACGGGCTCCCAGTGAAAAAAAAAAAAAAGTATAAATAATAGAAAATAAAGTGAGGCATTAAAAATAACAAATAACTAAATGGAATATAAATATTTTTATTTAGCTTTTAATTAAATTTTCCATTAGCGGAATTCTGTGCAAACGTTTTTTTATGCCAATTAAATCTTAATTGTTTTTTATTTTATTATTATGGGAAAATTATCATTTTAGTTAGTAAACTAAATGCTGTTTTAGTGAAAACTATTTATCTTGAATATTTTATCGAGTGTATTTTAGATGTTATTCAAGAAAGTTTTCTTAGAATTATTTTAATTTAAAATAAGAAAACGCTTTTAAAAAAGCCTAAAAAAATATTGATTTAATTGCAAAAGTTTTTTATTATTTTTAAAATACTTGACTATTTTTTTATCATTAAAGTAATATTTGTTGATAATAAATTTTACTTACAATCCTTTTTATTAAAAACTTTTAAGATATTTTCTTACAATTTCTTACAATATTAATAAAACTAAATTATAAATTTTCGATCATCAATCATTATAAAATAAGATTGAGTAGCTAATAAAAAAAAATGAAAAATTTAAACAAAACTTTTTCAAAGCATATTTTGTTCCAATTTATAAATTTAATAATTTGAATTATAATTGTCAGACTGAAACGTCATTTTCAATAAAGGCGATAAATATTGATCCGCTTACTGAAACCAGAATTTTTTAAAAGTTTCACGCGTTAAGATTGAATAAAAAATTCTTCTAAAAGATCAAATCACGCGTAGAGGGTTTTGAATATTATCAATAACAACTTGAAACACAACTATTTAATTACAGTAGATTAAATTATCTGAATACCTTATCAATAGGTTACAGCATTAGCATCCACTAACGCTAGAATATCCTATAGTAGGCTCAAACAGCTCCTCTCACCGAGTTATTAATATAAACTAATCATAATTCAAATGGTTAATCTGGCTTACTCGAGCAATTTGAATCCATTGTGTCCATGCCCATTAAATCCTATATCAATTTTATATCCATTATTATTAATTATTATCATCATTATTATTTTATTACTAGTTTTTAATTCATTATTTTTTTATAATCCTCAAAGCTACCCAATAACAATGTCTGCAATAAAGCTACTCCAAACAATATAAATATTATACCTATTTCAAAAGATAAATCTTCTATCCGCTCTACACTGTACTGCGTATACATATATATGCACCACTTTTGTATTTTTCGCTTCAATAAATTTTCTACAATAAAAAATAATGAGTAAAATCGTTATCGTTTAGCGGAAATTTAAAAAAACGCTTTCAATTTTTTATCCGTCATTATTATTTTTTTAAAGAGATAATAGAATTGAAAACAACAAAAGACCAAAATTATTGAGCTGTCATAAATGGACGAATTCATTCGGCTGTCAATCTTAATTTCGAGAGGAATAAATGGTTGTAAAAAATGATGAGAATAGAGGCCTGTGAACTCGATTTTTTTTTACTATTTTTTATTCGTTTCATATTTATATATTTTCGGCGCTCAGTACCAGAGATTAATTCGTAAATCGTGATGTGTTAATTTTTCGGAGTCTTGATGCTCGCTTTGTAAGATTCAAGTCTTGTAGGCTGAGTCTAAGTGTGAGTACATGTAGAGTGAAGCGATAGATAGAGCAATAGTATATAAGAGATGAAAAGATACGAGAGTGGTAGTAACATATAACACGGCTACTTATCTCGTCCTCTGAGTGAATAGAAGTGGAAGCTTTGAGCTATGTTGACTTGACTACTCTATCTACCACTGTGTTATCCCTTTGACACTGACAAGATAGAGAACCACGTGGATACACCACGTGCTTTTATATTTTATATTTATCATAATTGTAATTTGTTTATTTTATATCTATAAAATTTTAGACGGATGAATTTTTTTTTATCATTCAAAAAATTGTTTGGTACAAAAAATTTTTTTTATTTCAGTCAATTAAATATTTTTAATTTTGTATTGAAATTCGAAAAATTTCAAATAACAAAAATAAAAATATTTAAATAAAAAATTTTTATTTAATCTAAGACTTGTTATTTTGAGTGTAATTAAAAAATAAAACTGCGATCTTTGAAAAATTATTTTTTAAGTACTAGTCGCACTCAACAGCAATTTCAGCTCTTAAAGCCCGAGTAGACGTCAAAAAATTATCTACTTACTTTCGGCTATTGTTGAAAATATAATGTTGAGGCACTTCGGAGAATAATAAATAATTAATTAAAAATTAAAATCCAAATATAAATACCGAAAGTTTCATAAAAAGGTACAACGGAGCCTGAGATAAAAGGAAATTAATTTTAATATCAAAGTTGCAAACTCACGGATAAATTTAATTTTCCAGACTTTTATACACATAATATACTTGTATATATGTATGTATGTATATGGAGATTCGTATACTTGTACATATACTTATACTTGTACATACATATATATCATTAAAATTAATTTTGTTCAACTCTCTTCCGACTTACGCTCTCACTCTCGTTCCCGCGCTGCAAAATCACTAAGCGAGAGAGACAATTCGACCTCGACGCGTTCACTGAACCGTCTCTCCTTTTTTTTTATTTATTTTATTTTCCTCCTACCGGCTGACAGTTAATAAAAATTAGTTCGTAAATTATAAATACTTAAGATTTTAACAACCAAAAAAACGCCATTTATCATTCATACCCTCCCTAAATAAACATCCTACTTACTATCATTAAAATTATAAATTTACAAGCTCATTAGACTCTTAAAAAAAAAAAAAAAACCACGGAAGCTCACCTTATTTTTTAAAAACAGCGAATCGATTTCCTGAAAATCTCCAACGTCCGCGAATCCGGTACTTTAATTAAAATTCTAATTACTTCCTCAAACCACCTCAAAAATAAAAACTACTAACTATACTTAGACACTAGCAATAATTAATTGCAATTAGAATCTATGCAACCAAATAAACAATTTAATCCGCGAGAAATAAAATAATAAAATCACTGATCACGATAAATCGGAGTTTAAACTGGTCGTCCACGTTCGAGGTCCCTCGTGCTAGAGGTTGTGTTCTCCCTTAGCCAGTCTCTTTCGTTACTCCCTCTTTTCGTGAGCCTCTCGGCTCTCCTCCGTTTACTCTTAACTCAGCTCTTTCTCTCTTTCTTATTTGGAGTCTTCCTCCCCGTCTTTCTCTGGCTCTACCGTCTCTGCGCTCTTTGACTCCTCGTACTGGGTCCTCTATACTACTCGCGTCTTCCACTCGTTTCTCTATACTCTACTACTACTACTTACACACTCTCTCCTTCTCCTTTTTCTCTTTCTCTCCCTCCCCCCAGCCTCTCTCTCCTCCTCGCTATTGCAAATTCCGGCGTATACGTACCACGATGCTCCTGCGCTTATCACAACTCACTGACATTAATATACATTCCACTTTAATTTTTAATTAAAATTTATGTTTCATTATTTTATATACCTATAATTTATAATAAATTAAATTTTTACCTTTTTTAATAATATATTATAATACCCGTGCATCTTATCAAGAAACTCATGCATTTCTTTGATTAAAAAACTTTTAATAAACAAAATTAAATTAAATTAATGAAAAAATAAATAAATATCTACCTGTTAGTAAAAATGATAAAATCAGCGAGTGACTCGTGTAACGAGCATTAAAAAGATATTTTATAAATACTTTCAAAAAATACGCGCGACTTGTCGGAGCACACGGAATAATGCGTCTGGTACATGAGCCAGAGGAACCGCGACTATCCTCCGCGCGTGCCGTCTCTCTACACCGAACCTCGTGCACATCTCACTTCACCGTCCGCGTCTGCACGTACCCTCTCGCTCGAATCCACTTTCTCTGTCTCTTTCTGGCTTCTCTCTTTCACTATTTCGTCCTATCCCTCTCATCCATACTGCGCCCCATGCAGACACACACATGCTCACCTACCCGAGCTCGCGAATATTCCGTCTACCTATCACACATCTGCTTTGAGTGTACGTGCAGCGAACCCCCACGAAATTCACCGGCAATACTTGTATTGCTCGTACCACACTTACACTTGCATCGAGTTTGTAAGTCGCGGCGCGTCAATTGCGCGTTTCTTCGTGTCTTCGGGAACTCCCGTAGGAGAACAGCGTCGCACCCGGCCACTCGGAAATGTTCGTGTCTTTCCGGCAATTGCTTTATGCTTCTCTTTCGCTTCAGTTGCTCTCTTCCTATTCCTATTCCCGATTCCTTCCCTGCAAGCTCCATCCGGGATGTTCTAGATGATACTTTAATTTGTACTTTTACTTATCCTGTTCTGGATATTCTGTATGAGGGATTTGCGCGAAATACATGTGTAATGATTCCAAGGAATTTTCGTAAGATGCAGGATGAAGTACAGCTTGCAATAATTGAAAATGAAAAGAATCTTTCTACAGTGTAATTACTAAATTTTGAATCGATTTTTTAAATAAATTAATGTTATCTGACAGTAAAAAATTTTAGTTTACGCTGATAAAAAATAATGGACATTTTTCTTTGTCGTTCACGTTCTGGGGAATTTCGTTTAAATATATAATATATAAAATCATGAATGTTGAGCTAATTTATTTTTATTCTAAAAAAATTAAAAAGTTTTTGAATAAAAAAATTTCTTTTTTTTAAAGTTAATTTAAAATTTTTTTTCCCTTGAATCAAGCTAATTTTTTTTTATGAGTATAGAAATATTTTTCATCAATTATTAGTTAAAAATTTTTTTGGTTGCTGTTTATGTTATTGTAATAAATGAAAATAATTAATTATTTTAATATATTTTACATATTTCGATGTTGAAGTAAAAAACAATAGAAGTAGTAATTCGCCATTATTTAATTATGTAAAACTTTTAGTTGAACAATAAACAAGAATATACGTGAATTTTGAATACTTTGTTTACTTTATAGCGGAATGAGCGTAAA